GTGTGCAACCAAAATCACGTCAGTGGCAACCCTTAAAGAAACATTGCTAAAGGAGTGACAAAATATGGATCAGACGATTGTTGATAATTTGATGAAGTCCATGAAAAATCGAATACAAGCACTGAGACTAGAAAATGGAGGACCTACTCCATACTAGTTTCAAATACTGTTTATTTATGTTGAATAGGGATTACGTAATTAAATTTTGAAATTGGATCTAGTTTATTTCTCTTGGCTAAAAACATTTCTTAAAAAATTATCTTAGGGAACAGTAATCTATAATTATAATCAGCAAGAGATAGTTAAAGTCCTGGTAATGATTACTGTGTTTCCTAGATTATCATTACTGAGTTCTATCCTACTTGGGGATCAGAAACTTGTGTTCTTCTAAATGTAACTATTTAGAATTTGTAAATAATTATAGTTTTTTTTTTTCTACTCAGTAACGTCCTTGGTTTGTTGTTACCTGTCACTATTTCAATACACCACAAAGCAGATATTAATGATATACCCTTTACTATCAACATAAATCTTGTCACCATTGGCATGTAATAATCTTTGGTTATTACGTCAAAATCAAGTAGGCAAAGAAATTAAAATTTCTGACCACTGTAGTAACAATCTTGAAAGTTAACACTTATATATACGAAAATATATTGAGATATCGAGACTATGCCTTTAAGAAGCTAAGCTAAGTATTGAAATAGAAAATGTCTCGATTAACAAAGAAAAGAGTATGGATCTCCTATGTATTACATACTTTCTGATATGGTAGTATGTTACTTGACAATATTTTCACGGATGAAAAATAACTCGGATTAACAGAGATTTGGATTAACTGACAAATACTGACTAGGCAGAGAATGTTAGCAATGGGGATATGGGAAGTAGAACAGTAATCTATAATTATAATCAGCAAGAGATAGTTAAAGATCCTGGGAAATATCATGAGGAAAAACGGTCTGGAGAGTTTAAAACTCTCAGGATGCGTTAAGGTCAGAGAATGAAATGGATTAGAGAGTCACCTAATTAACGATTATGTTTAAATGGATGACATTACACGGCTCAAATAGAAAGGTAATAGGTGATATGTTAATTAGAGCGACATAAGAAAATAAATTGTGAAGAGACATGACTGTCGGCATTCATAAAGAACATGGCACTTAGAAGCAATAAGATAAAATTATACCCGAGTATGAAAACTTTTAGCGCCAGTTTTCCAAATGAGGCATACGTGTTTGCTTTGAAAATTAACGCTTGAAATATTACCTTTTTCGAAGGCCCAGACGCACAAAACAACAGATATTGATATGAAGTCTACTTTATTTTATCTCAACAGGCGGTTAAATAATTTATATAGAAGATGAAGCTTTTGACAGCAATATTCTAAGTGGGAAGGGCCAGCCTGTGCTGAAAATCAACCTCCGAAATGCTGTTTCTCCCACTGCTGGCACGTGAGCAGGAAAATATAGAAACATCATCCAAAGAGACAGATCTATATAGAAAGGATCAGAAAAGGAAGCTGACTAAATGTTTAAGACGATTGTTTTCTGGTTAACAGTGTATCTCACGACAAATCCCATTGTTAAAAGTGAACGCTTTCTCCGTTTACGGCAGAATGAGTAACTCATACGACTGGGAAGTTTAAGTCGCATTGAAATTTCATTTGGACGCGTCTCCACGAGTGGCCCAGGTTTTCTGGGGGATGAGTGATATTATCGAGTCACAATCTCTAGAACGGTTGACAAGAGAATTCAGTCTTCCCTGCTATTTAACCCATAGCTTGGGGAGAAGAGATAGATTCATAGCTTTACCAAGGATATTTGCGCGTAAGTGTAACGAATTCAGCTGGGGTTCGAACTCAGCACTTCGATTTCTCATTTCAAACCGCAATCTGTTACCCGACACAACAATCCTATTCAGCCCAGGCATCTAATTCTAATGTTGATCATCTAATTCTCGCACTGATTCTCGTCAATCGTCAAAATTAAGCAACTTCGAGCATGATCATCACCTATATGGGCAACTTTTGGGTAATAGCAGGTGCTGGTAGCTTATATATGTCGTCATGGATAACGACTCGGAATTGGAAATCGGAGCACTGATTTCCAAATCCAGCTATGTTTCTAAAAATAGGGTAGTAAATCACCATTATCCCTGAAAATATACTTACAATCTAATATATATATATATATATATATATATATATATATATATATATATATATATATGCTGGCTTTAAATAACCTTCAAAAAGGCTGAGAAGCCGTAAAAAAAAAATACGTTTAGATGCATTAAATAATGATTCAAAATAATTTAGAGATGTTATGAAATAAGAGTGACCGAAAAGAGGTTTGTGAGATATGCCGTAGCCTTAAAAGTATTTCTCTCCGGAGTTGTCAACAGTCGCATGTGTCATGTCGCTTGAAATATGTAAAAAGCTTTTTTTTTTTTAAATTGTAACAAGCATCCAATAGATTAATCATATAAAAACACCGATTGGTGCCACATCTCCATTTTTACATATATATATATATATATATATATATATATATATATATATATATATATATATATATATATATATATATATAAACGTCATCCACAGACAGACTTTTCACAGCTCATCAGTGTGGCTAGACATCCGGCTGCCTCTAGCTAGGATCGAAAACCGACTGAATTGGTGTCAGTCGGAAATTCTAACCGGCGCACGGTAGGGATGAAAGTGGATTTTTTAGCGTATTTATTTTTAGAAACACGCCCAATGACCGACAGTGACTCAATTCGCATCTACGAAGAGGTGACGATTGCATCTAGCATGAAACAGACTGTCGCCTCTAAGTGTTGACTTCTATGTTCACTTTTATATTTACACACGCTCTATCTCTGATACTGAGCACTTTATCCCCAAGATATAGCACATCTTAAGACTATATTTCTTTATATATATATATATATATATATATATATATATATATATATAATATTATTTTCTATATATACAAAATAGTAACTTAACTGTAACTGTCGAGTGGTTAATCCGTATATAATATATTTACAATTGTAATCAATATTCGTTTTTTTTTTCAATTTTTATATTTGCATCTTCTTTAACTGCTCATGTTATACATGTTCCTGCATAAACGTAATTGTTTTTCAATTGCATATTTTGTATTTTTTTCATTGTTATTTTTGTATGTATATCTTTGCTTATATATATATATATATATATATATATATATATATATATATATATATATATTATATTTTATTATATTATGTTCTATTATTATTTAATTTATATTAATTTCTGTTGTACATATTATATTATGTTATATCAGTATGTAAATTGCAAAGTAAATATTTATTTAAATGTCTGCATTTACCAATGAATTTTTTTCTCTTGTTTAATATTTTAATTTGATTATTGAAATTTATTACATGAGACATCTGTTTTATTTTTGATACCTAAATAATTTAAGCAATTATAATTTTAATAAACGTAACGCCATATTTCATCTGAAGGCAGATGAAATCGATGTTTTTTTGTTTTTTTTTATCAAATTAATAAATGGCGGACATTTTAACTTAATGACTTTGTCTCCGGTTTTCTTCAGATGATGGACGATCTGAGTAAACTTCATGGAATTTCGAAATTAACACTTTATTTAATCTACGCTGATAGCTGATTCCTCTTCTGCTAATGATATCCTGGGATATCACGTCTTTTTATTTAGTAATGCTCATCTATCGTTATTAAACCTTTAGTCCGTGAATTTTTTATATAGTAATTGTGATATCACTCTCTGTGTCAAACAATGTGTACATGGACTTAGTGGAAACGGTGAGACCAATAAATAAGCCGTACTAAAAAAAAACTGATTGATATATTCCTAGGTATGATCAACAGAATAGTAACAATCTTCTTACATATATTAAATAAATGCTTCCTTCCAACATTACCCGAATCGGCAAGCACCTGTTGAAAGCCGAAATCACAAAAGCCGAAATGTTATGATAGCAACAGCAAAGATTAGGAATCTGTTCCAGATCTAAATAATTTAATTAGGGGGTAACATACCTAAAGAACATACACAAATGGATGTTAGCTCAGGTCCTGGATTGGATAACAATTGGATAAATTTCGTTTAGTTCTACAAAGGATAAGAAGATATGGAGAGCCATAATCGCCTGCGTTCTGTTGTTTTAATGGTGTACAACAAAGAGAGTTTCAATTATTAGCTATACTGGACTTGTGAACTAATGATATTTTAGCTTAATTGATTCGTACCTATCCTAAAACTAGACAGTAATCCTGTACTTTTCACTATGGAATGATACAGATGTTCAAGCCTGTAGTAAATTTGGTAGCCATTTCACTTTGAAATACTGGTTGTCGCACGAAGTTAAGCAACGTCGAGTCTGGTCAGTAACATGATGTTTAACTTCTTGTGAATACCAGCTGCTGTAAGCTTGGATGTGTGGGTGGTGTAATGAATAACGGCTCAGAATGAGAAATGGGAGAGATGAGTTCGAATTCCAGTTGGGTTAGTTGTAGTCAATTATGCGCAAATACCCTTGGGAAAGGTATGAATCCATCACTTCTCCAGATACGGGTTAAACTGTAGGACTTGTATTAGAAAATCATTATCTTAAAATAAAAAAAAAACATTAGTAAATTCCAAAATATATATTCCGGCTTTAAATAACCATCTACAGGTTGATAAGGTGTCAAAACAAATCAATCAATCCAACCGAGAGTAAAATATTTTCTTAAAGCGTATAAAAATGAACAGAGAGAGTGACAAAGTTTACTTTAAACTCTGGTTCATTAATTTTATCGATATGGTTGGAGGTTTCAACTGAATTTCCCCAGGGCTCTCAGATTTTTGCAAGAATTTTATAGAATGTAGACTTTTTGAGAGCTGTAAAATTTTTATTGCTTACCGGATTACATAAAACGCGTGTGTCGTCCATTGTGATCCCCTGATCGACTTGCTTCAATCGATGGAAAATCCGCAACGAAGAAGTGTACATTTGGCATCCGGCGAGCTCAGGGAGCCTGGAAAGGTCACAGAGTGCCAAATTTCAAGTGATTTGGCAAACGTTGACGTCGTGAAGCGCCGTCGAATGATAATCAAGCAGGGGAAAGTGCCAAACATCCGACTCTTTTGACGTCTAGGGGCTGACATGGGAGTGTGTTTACACTTATGCGTGCTCTTGTGTAAAAGAGAACGTGAGTGAAAATTGACGGGAAGGGATAAATAGAATGTTTGTTTTGAAGGAAAAAAGAGTGAAAAGTGTTTGGGATATAAACAGAAATTGAAAGAGAGGTAAAAAGTATCATTAGAGAGAAAAACTGAGTGAAAAAAGAGAGAGACAGTTGGAAAAAAGAGGAACAACTATGAAGATATATTGACAGAGACCAAGAGCAAGCAAGATTGACTAAAGAAATACAGTGAATTTTGTAACAATAAAGAGGAGGGAGTGTGTATATAAGAGAAAGAGAGAGAAAAAAGCAGCAGAAGATGTTTAAATATGTGGTAAGAGAGAGGGAAAAGAGAAAAATCATTGGAAATGAAAGAGGGAAACTAAAAATACTGTTGCTCAGAGATCGACAAAGAGAAAAAACAGAATGAACACTCTTTTTAGCAAGAGGGAAAGAAAACTATGAAAATGAAAGAGGGGAAACAGTAAAATACAGATGTTTAGAGAAAGAACAAAGAGAGAAAACTATTGGACAAAAAAGTTAGTGAATGGGGGAAAAATCTAACTATATATAAAGTGATAGGCTTTCTTTGTTTGTTATCGAACTCCTGCAAGGGTTTCGGAGATAGACCTTCATAACGATATATTCTGAAACTATATTACCCTGGGTACTTAGATAAGTATATTTCATTTTGATCAAAGGGATTCGTCGAGTTTGGGGTGGGGGTCACAATTCCCCCAAGCAACTCCCCCCTTAGATTTAATTTTAAATTTGATTTATATCCAAAATATAGAAGGAGAAAGCCAAAAGATGGTGGTCAAATTGGTAAGATCATTTTGATCAAATGGGGACCAGGTGGGTTACAAACACCTACTGATTTTTTCCCCTTCGATTTAAATTTGAATAAGGCAATAACTCCTAGGGTACTTAGATAAGTTTATTTCATTTTAATGAAAGGGGTCCCATGGAAGTACAAACCTTCCAATGAAATTGTTTTTTGCTATGGTTAAATTAAATTTAAATTAGAACAAGCGAATAACTCTCATCCAAAATATAGGGAGAGAAAGCCATAAGATGGCGGCCATATCAGCAAGAAATTTAGTAATATTGAAATGCATCATTTTTCTGGATAAATTGTAACAATGATTTAAAATCAATCATCATTTTATTCCAAAAAAGAAAAAAAATTGTGAAACGCAGCAAGGCTCGGTTAATTTCTGTTAGTGGAATTATAAAATCGCATGGTAGTTAAGAAAAGGTGAGAACGAAACAACTGTAGATATACGTGGCAAAATGTATGAGGCAAGGAATAAAAAATACATTTAAAAAAAATCAAAGAGGAAGGATAGTCATTAAAAAAGAGAGACGTAGTGAGATGCAGCTATTTCAAAATGTTTGAATTTCTATGATGAAGATTTATTTTTATTTATACTATTTACATTTGGGCTATTCTCCTCATCTTTGTTGTTATTATCACATCCTTTCAACCGTTGTGCTCTTCAGCCTTCATCACAGATTCTGAACTGAACCATTTATTTAATCTACAGCGGTAAAAATAATAATGTGAACATTGACATAATGGTGATGATAACATAAGACGTTTCCTTATAAGGAAATATTTTGTATTCATCGATCAAGAAGCCAATACCGTTGACGGTTGAAATTTACCAATATTTTCTCTTAAAATATTTTTCAGGAAATTAGCATTCTCAAGTCCAGTAGCTTTTATCACAACACTGATGGGGTTTCCTTCCTCACCTTTTGTTTGAATCTGTTTGGAACTTAAGTCTCTTGATTATGTCATTATTTTCTCTTTGCCTCATGTGATATCCATTTTCGCTGTTACTACTGCTAAAAAAACAATTTAAAAAAGTAATTTGGTTTATGTTATTTTGTACAGTTCTTTATTGTGGTTGTGTATCGCCAGTCCACAAGGTTCGCATAAGTGTGGTCTTCGGCAAGATTCGCATGTTTAGCTTGTTCAGGGTCATCAAAGTTAAAGCAAGGGACAGCTTAAAACAAAAGAGGGGGAGGAACAAATAAAATAAGAGATTGGAAAATAGGAATGAAGAGCTTAGAATAATGATGAAAGAATAGAAGATACTGAAGAGGAAAGAGAGAATAAAGTAGAGAGGGGAACTTGTGGAACATAAAAAAAGAGAGACTAGCATACACAAAGAAGAAAGAGAAATGAAGGTTAAAATAGCGATAAATACGAATGTGAACACGAACCATTGATAATATTTGAGAAAAGAATAAAGAATCAAATAAAAACAGCAATAAGTTGATTTTTAAATAGTATATTGTTACAGGAGGCAAGCGGCCATGACTCTCCAAAGTTCGTTTCTTTAATATACATGAACTGACACGACTTTATGGGAAAGATAGTGTAGTGATTTCTTGTTGCCATATGCACGTATTTGTATACATGTAGTTCTTATGCATTACCTGGTTAAAATCCAATCCTAGAAGGCCAATTCTAGCTTATATTTAACCCATAGCTGAAGGAAGAGGAAGCAAAATAAAACATTTTCTAAAAGTATTTGTGTGAAAGTAAATGCAAGTACTAGTCAAGAATTTAAATTTGGCTCGCCGACTCGATTATCCTCGATTAGAAAACGGAAAAGAGAAATTATGTTCAGCTATAGTGGATTTTAGAATAATCCTGAATGAAAGGAAATAAAGTTAATTTAGCAGGTTATGACACAATAAAAGTCTCAATTGGCAATCATTGTAAAGGGTTACTAAATGCTAAATGATAATGTTTGGTGGCCGTAGTATCGAAACTAAGTGTAAATTATTTGGATACTTACGATAGGTAACGATTGATCTTAGAACTGAAAACGTTCGGACAAAAAGAAAACATTTTCTCGGAAGTGTGTTCCATTAAGTAAAAGGTCTTGGGAAGATTTTGTTCGAATTGAACTTCCTCCTTATTAATGGATTACGAAAGAAATAAGGACTGTTGGCATTTGGGAATATATTATGGCGAGATTTAGCTATAAAAAGCTGAACTGGTGGACCTAGGGAATGTAGCCTGGTATATGATTGAACATGTGATATTTTCAACATTAGAAAACCAGTAAATGATTACAGGTGTATAATTCAACAATCATGCTACTTTCAGTCTGTGGAATACACACAAACACACAAACGGTCATACCCACCCACATACACACAGATAGATAGATAGATAGATAGATAGATAGATAGATAGATAGAACTGAAATAAATCCTAAAAGGCCAGGAAAGCCAGTTTTACTACACGCTTGGGTTTTTCTTTGGACTAAAGACGTAAGGCACTGGACGATTTATTTCGCTCTGTTCGAATGTTTTTAGTTTTTCATATTTTTATTCCCAATTTTTTCTCGGGTATCGATTTGTTTTAATATATCTACAAGTTGAGCTATCTGAGTTTTTTTGAAAACGAGTATATATATATATATATATATATATATATATATATATATATATATATATATATATATATATTATCTACTCAAGTTTCACGCACTCGCGATCTTCAGATGACTAGCTCGTGAGTGCGTTAAACTTGACTAGCGAATCGAGCTTTGCTTCGTTTATTTTTGACATTGTGATGCGTATAAAATTATATATATATATGTGTGTGTGCGTGTGTGTGTTCGTGTGTGTGTGTGTGTGTTCAAAATAGGATATATTTAAGCATGAAATAGACCGCCGCTCCTAAACAAAGTATAGTATTAAGGTAAGCAATATTTATGGATTAATGGGTTCAATATCCATTATTCGGACTATTGTCCTGTTCCTTATTCTCATATTCATGACGTTTCGTCCGTTGTACGCTCCGGCTTTCTTCAGGTAACTGGAATTTTGAACTGAATCCTTTATTGTGTCTACCATTGTACATTGTTCTAGTTCTACGTCCCATACCTCTTCCGGATGTCTCAGACATCTCCCTTCAACTCAACTCTCCAACTTTTTGTTCACCACTCCTGTCACCAGGTATTGAAGACACAACTCTTTGCGTGAAGTCGCTGGATCCAATCAACGCTTTTATCTCCTGGACCATGTGTCCCTGGGTTAAAGGTAGATAACTGAGACATTCGCAAGAGGCGGGGTACGTGGAATAGAACAATATACCCCGGTGGACGAAATAAAGGGTTCAGTGCGAAATTCTAATCGCCCGAAGAAATCCGGAATGTACAAAGACCGAAAAGTTGTGAACATGGCAATAAAGAGGAGGAAAACAGTTCGAACAAAGTACATAATTACAATCGCTAATCTCTGAAATATAGACAGGCACCAAATACTTTTGCAAATATGCCAAATGCCATTTGTATACAACTGTCTCTCAGATCAATGGTTCAAAATTGCGTCGACGAAATGAACTATTTTGAACTTATCCAGGCCCATATTTCTTCAAACCTCATGTATTGAAACTACAGAATGATAAATGAATAACATTACTAAATAAGGGAAAGCAAAACACACGAGGCTTATAGGCGTCAGCAACTACTAGAATAGTTATCACATTTGCATTATTTACATTATTCGGACTGTTATCCTCATCTTCATTGCCATATTCATAACATTTCGGCTGTTGTACGCTGCGGCCTTCTTCAAGATACATGGTGTCCTAATACTATGTGTTCCTTGAGGACACATGACCCAGTAGATAAAGGCGTTGTTTAGACCCAGTGATTATACCCAAAGAGTTGTGAGTTCAATATCAGGCTACAGCAGAATTGTTTTAAAGGGGAATAGCTAAAATATCCGGAATAGGTATGACACTTGGAACTAGAACAGTCTACCCCGGTAGGCGAAATAAAGCGTTTCGTCCGAAATTCCAATCACCTGAAGAAGACCTGAGCGTGCAACGACCAAGGCGTTGTTAATATATCTGTGAAGATGAGGATAACAGTCCGTATAATGTAAATAATATAAATAATCTTAATATCTCATCTCAGAGATATAGACAGATAGCTGTCATATGTAAATACAAGAGAAAAGGATCAATATGTTGAAAAACTACACTATGAAATTCCCAACGATCCCAGATCCACGCAACCACAGAACGAGATACTGATCCATGACAATCTCTTATTTCTGTAGCGTCCACGTACCCTGATTATGCGAGTGTCGACACCATCTTCGTATAATTGTATACCCATGTAGGCTTGTTATGGACGATATGATTCCTGACGGCGCCAACAAGTGGTAGAACTTTTTTCGAAATCGTTGTGTATCCTACCGCAGAAGTGAATTCTACTGTGGGACAGTGGTAACTTTTTGTTTTGTGTAGGTTTCGTTGCTAAAAGTTCTTTATTTGTGTTCGTCGAAAGCTAAACAGCAGTGTGGATTTTGACTGCACTCAAACGAGCACTGGGCCGAATATCATCGAAGTGTTTTTTTTTTTTGTTTTTGTGTGTGTGTGTGTGTGTGTGTTTCTATCAACGAGGCATCATTGATTCCTAGCCGGCAACACTGACTCAGTGTAAACTACGCAGAATTTTTTGGTAATCTTCTAACAATGAAATATCGTAATAGAAGAAGTGGATAAATTTAAATAAGATTTTCCAAAACAATCCCATCTGGTTAAATGTTGAGAACACACAAACCTGACATTGGCTTTCTTCATCAATTTTGCTTCTTGGCAGATGTGTAAGCCTGAAAACCTCTATGTTTTGTCTGATTTTTGGTTAAGTTGATCCAGCTTCCGATTAACTCAGGGCCTCGATCTTTTCATTTTATAAGTTTAAATACATATCTTTTACATTGTTTCTGTTCTTAGTATATGAAAAGCCTGTTTTAACACTATTTTGAACAAATGAAAGTCCTCATTAATACTGGAAAGAGAGATCCGATGTACTGGACTTGAGAAACATTTTCAGAAATATTGTTTTAACATATTTCAACTAGTTGTAACACTTGCTGTTTTTTCAATGAAGACCGAATTTTTGTGTATAAAGAAACGTCTAATATTATTAACTAGTCTTCGAGCGGACTTTAGGCAAGCTGGTGCACAAGGCTCTTGTTTCAGTGGCCTTTTACCTTCTGCATCCTATGTACGTAAAAGTTATAAGTATTTAGAAATAATAAAATTATTCGAGACCTTAATTCGGCATAATCTTTCTTCGTTTACACAACCGATCTTCGTATTCTGTTTACATTTATTTTGCTATCAAATTTTAATTTTCTTTTAAAATCATCGTTCTTTGTGATCCCCTCACATGAAGTCATTTAAAAAAAAAATACATTAAGGAACCTGAACTACGTAAGAGTACGCGTGTCCCCCCACAAAAAAAAAACATATGAGCAACGTACCGTGCCCCGCTTAAATTTTAATTAAGCAATTATGATGAAAAGCGAAATTAAAGTCAAACTACTATTAAATAATTTAAAAAAAAACATGTATTTCTGTTTGATATTTAAATTTAAATTTCAAGGATTTATTTAATCTTTAATTGCGTGTAACGACAGTAGTTACTATCTGTTAGGTTACTTATGATTCACTGAGATCAAAAAATGGAGGGACGTATGGACGGGTACACGTACACTGCACTTTATTTCTATAGATATCATTACAATTACCATAATGGAGAATTTGTCTAATTTTTCATACATCAGGTAGTTTTAGATTACTCTGTAAGTATTTAAACCAATTTTATTCACTTTCGCATCTTTCTTTTGTGAAGTTAATTCAACGTTTTCCTTCCTACTCCAACGCATAGACTATTTGATTTCAGCCATATTTTTCACCCGCCGATCATGTGATCAACAAATTATCATCGTCACACTGATGAGTAATATTACTATTGACGTGCAGCCTCGTCTTTGTCACACAAAATCACTTTGTCGTCTTCGGTTAGGTTTTTTACATACACACGCACATTTACACATACGACTGTATGCACACTTATTAAGACTGGACTTTATGCTTTTAAGTAACAGACATATATGACATTTTATTCTGTTTTTTTTTGTGTATAGATCAAGAATAGAAAGGATGGCATTCATCGAATGCAGGTATGCATTTTTTTTCTTTTACTTTACTTATATTTGCCTAGTTTTTTAGAATCACAAGCAGACGAGTCACTTCATTTTGTTAATGACAAGTAATTTACTTGCATATTAACATTTATTTTAATGATATTTCATTGGGCAATTAATTAGTCAAAATATTTCTATTGTCATCTTTTATCTTTCATGTCTCTACAGGACATGGACCTTCAAGTCACTTCACAATTTTATGATTTTATTGCTCTAAGGATCTCTTCATCCTTTATAATAAGTTTCTTCCTTTTCTCTCTATTCACAAAACCCCATTAAGAACATTGCTGGCTGTTTTTTTATATTTCCTGTGGATGTTAAATATTCCAAACTCTATTTCCTCATTATATGCCCCAGACATTTAAAATAAAAAAAAAATTGACCATCTTCATCAAAAGTAAGGAGATAATACCGTAAAGACACGAGAGGATGCTGGGAATTTTTAAAAAATGAGAAGACTTCATTGAAGAGAAACAAGAATAAAAGAACAGAATTCAGAACGACAGAAGATGGCGATTGGCGTTGCAAGTAAATATTTTGAGAAGTGTAGGATACAGGGAAGAAAGAAGCCAGAAGAGTTTTAGTTCCATAATTGATACATGCGAGAAAAGAAACAATTAGAAGAAAACGTATGGTGATATCTAGTTAGTTAAACTGTAAAACAGTGAAACCTAGATGTCAATCGTTTCCTTGTAATTGCTATTTCCTTTAAGAACTTCTTCGTTACTCACATGTTCTCTCCATCTTATTCTCAGCATCCATCGCTAGAAACAATACTTCAAATCTCTTTGTCACGCTTTGTCCATGCAGAGGTTGCCAATATTCTTTCAGTTTAATTTACTTTTATACAAGTCTACAAATATAGGAATCTCTGTGAGAATCTAAATCGCAAAACTAGTAAATATCTGAAAGGCTAACTCATTAATTATTAATCTATTGTAAAGAACCTTCCGTTACATTACTGTTTGTAGATATTCTTCCAAGTTCCAACGTTGAGAGTCAAACGTTCTAGGAAGTATTTTAACAGACGATTCGAAATCAGACACAGAAATACAAACACTCATTAAAATAGCAAATTATTCCAAAAAGGCCAAACAAATATCGCTAGAAGCAAAGAAAAGATTGCTTAATTTTTATCTAATATCAGTTCTATATAGAAGTAAGTGTTGGACCATTTTCTCACAGATAAAGTGGAGACATGTGGCAGCAAATACGTTGTTCTATAGAAGGATGCTATCAATACCATAGATAAAAAAAGTGTGTAATGAACATATTTTAAGGAAAATATAAACAAAAAACGGGACTAGTGTTTAGAATGCATATGAAGAAAGAAAACTTGAATCATTTGATATCCACAGAAAGTATGGAAGGCAAGAGGAAAACTCTGAGTAACCTACGTAGTAAACTTGGCTGACAGAATAGCGAGTAGAAATGCGAGTAACACGGCAAGCTTTGATAAGAACTACGAAGGAGAGGTACTGTGGGGAACCATGATGGCTGACACTTTGAAAAGACCAGGCACTTAAAACATGTCTGTCAGTATATAAATCAATAAAACAATTATTTTAGGCATATTAATATTTAACTTAAATATTTCTTGGGTAATTATTTAACTTTTATCAAGTAAAATATATATGTTCTGGGTTCTTTTTTTTTACTACTGCTCATCACCAAAAAGTCACTCAAGTTAAAAAGGTTATTGAATCATATTGTTGGAAGTAGAAAACGGTTAATAGATAAGATTGTATTGATGAGGGAAGCATCTTTCCGGGAGTATATTCCACAAAGTAGTGATTCTTTGTAAGTAGCTGCAGAATGGAAGTGGAATTTTCTTCGTACCAATCGAATGCGAATGAAAGAGAATGAATCAACGCTGTATATGCGGCATGGCGCTCTTTTAGCTGTAAAGGTATGAACTAGTAAATCTAAGGTATATGGCACATTTACCATGAAAGGAGATATTTAATTATTCAACACCGCCAACACAACACTGGTGTTTAATTTTCAAAATTTTTATCACAACGAAAATAAAATTCTTAATCAAAGTGGAAAAGAAAAATTTAGGCACGAAGGTCATTTATTTGTATTTGATAAGTTTATTAAATGAGACAGCGACGTAAAACTTTGGGTTTTGATAAGTTCAAACTGTCTTGAAACCTCGAGCTGAATACACCGTTAAAAGCCATGGAGTTGAGTCGGCGGTGTTGAGTTGGCGGCATTGAATTGAGGTTGGTAAGTTGTCTTGGACCTATATTAACGATAGAGTAGAGAGGGGCTTGAAATTTTTTGACTATGGGAATGGTGTTTTAGGGTGGTAAATAAATCATCAACCACGAGACGCTTTTGAACCCTCTCAAATTTGGAAAGTGAGTGTTTGGGCAACTTTTCTTTCTTATTCAGCTTTTGTAAAGACAGAGCATGGAATGAGGATTCGCAAACTTTCTAGAGCAGTACAAGGGACCGATCATTTTCCATCTTATTTAGCGATGTATCGTATGTATGATTTCTACTTGACGTTTGGGCGAACTTGAGGGCAAATAAGTGTTCATGGCAAGGTACCTCATTCAGTATACGACCGTTCATCATGACAGGAGGGAATTCAATGTCTGCTCGGTAATGATGAAATAATTATTAAGGTTTCTTAGGAAATTAATATTTCTTTTGAATTTGTTGCCCACGCCGAATTGATTGTCATGCAATCATAAACGAAGAAAAAGAACGCAAGTAAGAATAAGGAACTATTCTGTTTGAATTAGTTTTAGTCTTGAATTTTCTTTCTCTTTGTCTCTTTCTGTCTGGCAATCACTCCCTGTCTTCCTTTGCTTCATTGTCTTACACTCACTCTCTTTCTTTCTGTTGATCTCTTTTTGCTTCGCACTCATTCTCTGTCTCCCTCTGGTTCATTGTCTTACACTTACTCTCTTTCTCTCTCTTTCTCTTTATTTCTTTTCTTTTCATTCCCTTAATGTCTTCCTTTGGTTTACTGTCTTCTACGCCACTATCCATCTCTCTCCTTGCCTCTTTCTTTCTCACACTCACTCTTTGTCCGCCTTTGGTTCTTTGTTTTACAATCACTCTTTTTATCTCTCTCTTCGGACTCATTCTCTATCTACTTCTGCTTCTCATATCCACACAGTTTTCTCGCTTTGTCTCTTTCTGTCACGCACTATCTCTGTCTCTCTTGTCGCTTTCTGTCTCATTTTTTGTCGCTCTTAGTCCTACGCTCACTCTCCGTCTCTTTTTGTCTCCTTCCGTCTCCCTCTCTCTCTCTCCCATTTGTCTCTTTTTGTCTTGTACTCATCCTCTGTCTCTTTTTCTCTCTATCAGTCTCATATTAACTTTCTATTACTTTCTATCTCTTGCTCGCTCCCTATCTCTTTTTGTCACTTTCTGCCGCGAATTCACACACCGTTCTTTTTGGTCTCTTTATCTCTCTCTCTCTCTCTTTTCTGTTTTTGTGTTTTTCTCTCTCGGACATATTCATTTTCTCTCTGTGTCCTCTTTCTGTTTCAAATTCAGTCTTTGTCTCTTTCCCTCACATTTTCTTTTTTCTCTCTAGGAAAAAAATGACGTCAAAAGTGAGTCTGTCTTTGTACATGATACCATGATTTTTTTCCCAAGTATATTTCTTTGGCACTCGTCGTTTCTTTTGTGATGATAATATTAACTGTGTTGTTTGAGTCAACAAACGAATAAGAAAATAATTACAAGTCATAGAATGTCTCCCCGGCAGGTCAGTGTTATATTTTTTTCTTTAGAGTGACAGTTTGAGCAGATGCTCTTAGATCATCTATCACGTCTTATGTCTACCACAGATGTTGTTCCCAACGCCCAGGTTACAGGAATAATTGGTGTCACGAGCTAGGATATTTCAACGCTAGTTTTAAAACGTTGAGGGAGAGAGAAAGTAAATTTTGAAATAAAAAAGATGCCCCTATCCCAGTCACAAATAGAAAGTTTTCTGTGAATGAAACGCTGAAACATAAATATATCACATTTGAAATGTTGCTTCTAATGTAAGATATTTTACTCGAAATGTTTTCTCCCCCAATTAAAACATAAGACTCGTTCTTCATGTACATTATTTACATGTGTCTTATGATTCAGTGAATTCAGTTGTTGCTTTTCAATTCTGAGGAACCTGTTCATTTCTGGCAGGATCTGCTCAAAACATGTCTGGAGAACACTAGGCATTTTTATACTGAACTTCAACGAATATAAAGCCCAATGGTCACTGAAGCTATCAGATTACTGTTAAACTTGCTACAATTGATGATGTGTTATATCAAGAACTGGGGGGCGGTAGCAGGTATTGAAAAATATGTGAATAAAGAGGATAGATAACGATTGACTCTTGACATAAAAACCTTGTCATCGAGTTAATATATATATATATATTTCTCGGACATTCAGGCCGGTAAATGTTATTTAATACTGTTTATCATAAACAGAGCATTTGCTTAAATACTTGTATCTATAAATAAACATAAAAATGTCTTTAATAAATAAATTGTCGGACCTTGTCCATTTCTTTATATATATGTGTGGTGGGATGAGTGTGTGTGTATAGCGCTGGTAGTAATAAAACATCGTTCGATAACTAATAACATAGCTAAAAATATAATAGTGATAAATATTATTTTTCCGCCCCCTAAGCGCAAACCTATCATCAGGTTCAGACTGAAAAAAAAATCGAAAAAATGGATTTTTTTTATATATATATATATATATATATAATTTTAAGTTATGCTATATTCATGTGTTAAATTGCTCAATATCAGGGATAGGGCGTTTGGAAATATAATTGTGGACATTGAAATCAACATCCAGAGACAACAATCTGTTTCATGCTAAAAGTTATCGTCAATCCATGTGCGTTGTTTTTTTTTTTTTTTGCTTTTACTATTTATATATACAGGTCTGTGATGGAATGTGGGTAGTCTATTGTATTGCATTGTGGGTAGTCTATAGTATTATAGTAACGGTTATCAGAAAATGAAACAGAAATCGACAAGAGAAACAGAGACATAGTGCATGACAGAAAGAGACAAACGGTTGCATTTTGAATTATTCTGGTGCTACTGAATGGGAATAATTGTAGATCCGGATGCAGTTTTTTTTGTACTTTTTATTGTTGTTAGTTAACTTTTTGGTTTATTATGGATTATTTTATTCTTGGTTCTTATTACTAAGTTTTTTTTTTTGTGCGTACGTGATTTGATAATTTGTTTATTATTTACTTAGTTTATTTACTGATTTATTTGTTTGGTTTAATTTATATTACGTATTTTTGTTTATTTTATTTTATTTATACATTTTTATTTATTCGTGTTCCTTTTAGTCGGCAAACGCCATTTTCTTTTTTAAGTTTTGATTTTTAATTTTTAATGATTTTTTAAGCTTCAGCCAATTTTATTTTTACATTACATTTTAAAGAAATCATGTTCCTTTTAATTTCTAATTTTTGTCTTTTGTTTTTCATTTTAATTGTTTTATTTGTTAGATTTCCTCTATTTCGTTTACCGTTGTAAGTTTATCATTTTATGTTAGCCCTTAAGGAAAAATAAATTATATGTAAACTGTTTTTACAAACAGTTACGAATCAAGATGACCTACCAAAGTCGCTTCATCAAAAGAAAAAAAAAAAAAACTGGTTCTTTCACAAAGGCAGAGCAACTAGCCCAAAATAATGAGGCCGTCTCCCAAACAAAGACAACACAAAAAGAAAATAAAATAAAATCTTCCTAAGGAGGGCCCTCTATAAAGGGATAAATTATTCAACCGCACCCGGCGAAGAGGAGGGGATGGAAAATAAAAAAAATCAAAAGAACGAAGAACCCGGCACATATATGGCGACATAATCAACGAATGATGGTGTAGCGGCGAGAGGATAACCATCTACTTTGAGTTCTCCAACAAAAATGCGTAGTCAATATGGCGGAGTTTATCGAGCGGATCAAACATTACGCTCATCGGATAACTGACAGTGGGCTTTTGGTTGACCTCAATGCAATCGCTTAAGATTTCTCGATCCACAAAAGGCACAGAAATGAAAACACTGAATTCCCTGGGGGCGAAACGTCATCAGGACATAAAATGCTCAGGGTTCTTCATATGGGACATACTGTTGCCATGCCAGGGCTGTGGAATATGACGTCCCGTGATCTTATCAAGAAAGAATATATTCGTTCAGAATACCAGTTGTACGAATAAAACTGTCCAAATCCTTATTCTAGTTGATACTAGATTTTTCACAGCATTTGGGTCTGGTACCGGTGGACAAAAATCTTCGGCTAAGTCTCCTTCAGATGAGATGAAAGATCAATAGGAATGGCTGGTCGTGGGTAGGGTGAGAGGGAAACCCCAAATTGAGTCATCTCCGTCCCCCGAAGCCCCCAATGGAAAAGTTATTAAGAGTCCCAGGCGCAAGGGTGAGGCAGCGGTTAGTTACGCCGACAAATTACACCAGTTATGTAAAATGCATGACCCTGGATACGATAAATTAGAAAAATTAAAACACTTCCAAGAACAACTGGGGGCCAAAAGAGTGAACCAGCATGGGCCAATACCTGTACCGCACCCTTCAACTGCTACTCCATCTTCTCCAACACGCAAGAGAATGTCAGCTCCCGCCTCCGTGACTAGATAATTGAACCCAACCCCTCCAAAAATGACCACCCTTAAAAAAGTGTTTCATACCCCCTACTCAATTTTCTGCCCATGAAATGTTTCCAGCGTCAACACCTACATCAAAAAAGACTAAAAAGCAGTTCAACCTAGGCGAGGGCGAGTGTCGCGCTTTTCAGCCTCTGCACCGTCTTCTCCATTTCGGAATTTCAGCCCCACTCCCAGTGACAAGATCAATGACTTCACCGCCTATGAAGATGACCGTCTCTAAAAGGGTAACCGCTCCCAGTAATTTGTCACATTCTTCCGCTTCTGACCATTTCTCTAATCCAACGCTGGCACCACCGAATAAAAAAACACCTGAAAAAGCGGCAAAAGAAAAGCAGCGAAAACCAAAAATACCATACAATATCGGGGGGAGTCATCTGCTGTGTGTCCCCGTCACAAGCAGACAAGTGCAAGGAATATGGGAATATTCACCCACCCGCTAATATCTTAACTTATTCGAGAAATATCGGAGGTATTTCGTTTGACTGTCACATTAAGAATGAAATGGGCCAGCGGTCAATGGGCGAGTTCATTGGTATCCTCACCCCGACAACTTTTAAGGCGGATGGCCAACATTAGACGATCTACCAATGTCTCTCTTTATAGCTAGTTTGAATGTAATCGGACTGAAATCGGAGTTTCGAAGGACGAGACACGATCATGACCTTCCCCGCCTGAGAGTGGACATATGCGTTTTGTAAGAGAATCGTTTCCATTATGGCGACAGTGATGTTATCTTGTCGAGGAGGTTTGACGGCTTCTCAGCGTATTATGACGGCAGCTCTTGGGGAGTTCCCTGGCTGGTAAGCCATTCTTTGAAGACTGTGTGTACGCTTGCTTTCGTCGATACGGCTGACAGACTTTGTGTCGAAGATGCTTCCAGAAAGGACCAGACGCTTCGTTCATTGCTGTTTACGTGGTAAACGATTCCAGGGAGCGGTCGGCCTTTCTTCCGAGGAGCGATCTGTTTCTGACGACATCTCGTCGGGCAATTTTAGAGGGTAACCGGAATGCCGTCCTCAATTCCGATATAGAACGCAGGGGAAGTAGATTGGGTACTAACAACTCGGATGGGAAACCATTTTGAGACTTTATTGACAGGCTGGGTCTTGTCGATAAATTCAGGAATGAGCTTCCTCGGGAAGTAGAGTGGACTTGGACTAATAGGAACGTTCATCTTCGGTGTTGCGTACAAGCTACAGTGACTGTGTTTTAGTTAGGAAAGTCGACTTATGGCTCTTAAGCAGTCCAAATCTTCATTCCATAGTTTCTATTTTTCACTTTATTTCGGCCGTTTTCTTCATAGACGACTCTTTTTTGTTTTGTTTAATTTATTTTTTCAATCTTCCTTATTTATAAATATTTTGCATTGATTTTCTTTTTATTTGTTTAATTTATTTAGAACACCCCACCTGCTTTTGCGTTGTTTTATTTTTCGTTTCTTTGGGGTAATTTTTTTTTTATTTTAATGTTTAAATCTTTTTGCAATTCAATTCGTCTGCTGGTAAATCCAGATTTTTTCATTTTTTTTAATATTTTCATTGTTACTGTCTTTACGTTAAACTAGATTCATTTTATTTTCTCCCACACACACCTATTTGTGGAAGTAATTTACTTTGTGTCTTAAATTTCTATTTACTCCTTCTGTTTTTTTTTCGTTTGGACCATTGTTTCTTTTTTTTTTTTAAAAAAAAACATGCTTTTTGCGTATAGAAAAAAAAACAACGGGTACAATCATTTAAAAAAATGGCCGGAAAAAGTCGGTTGTTTAAAAAAAAAACTGTTTTTGTTCGAAAAGAAACAAAAAGAACCGCCGAATAAAAAAGTAAAATCCAAATGGATATTACCATCGACGGTAAAAAAAAAAAAAAAAAAAAAAATGACACATTATGGTG